ACACACACACACACACACATAGATACATACATAGAGAGCAAGCTTTTCCCAGTGTGGTAACCTTCAAACTATTAGGCTACATGTCCAGTATTTTCTATGGCTAGCTTGGCCATTATTATTGCTAAAATATGTGCATTAGCACTTAGATATCTGAGGTCTAAGAAATGCTGGAAGGGCTATAATAAACCTGATACATTCTTCCACTTCATGTTCATCACCAGGTAGGAACAGGAGAAAAATCAGGGGATACTGTTTTTCACTGGGTAAGACCTTCCTATTTAGTAAAGCATTCTCAACCAAGTACATTTAACTTGCTGTACCTGCCTGCTTTCATTAGATTATTTTTTGTAATTCCTTTTTGTCTTTGTTTTCTTTTAAAATATTTACTTTTGTAGTGGTTTCATTATTCATAAGCCCGATGATGCATATATGCACGGAAGGGCACGATATAAATGTTAAATTAAACAGCATCTTTATTGCCCAGATCAGAGAACAGGAAGAAAGCAACATCCATCTCTGCCTCTAAAGGGTCCTTCAAATCAAGCTTCCATTCCTATAATTTTCTGGCAAGCATTTCAGAAATGGGTTGGAAATGCCTTCTTCCAGATGTTCTTTTGATATTCAAGCCTGCTATATAGTTTGGAATTTCTCTCATTGAGTATTAATCAGGCCTGATCCTTCTTAATTTCCAAGCCATCCAGAGTACTGTTGTCATGCTAACAAAAGTCAACCACACAGTTAAATACCCTGAATTCATCCTGATGCTCTGTGCTCTGGGAATAATTAAGAGAACAGTCCACTTCCTGCTTCTCCCCACTTCAACTTGTCATAAGGTTACAATATACCATAGTATGTAAATTTGTAGGGTAGCAAACAGCAAGTATATTAAAGATTACTCTACAGTAAAGTTACATAGGTCTGTTATATAGGGGTTTTTTTTCTCTTCTGCCAAATATTCATAATATTTAAAGATCAGATCTAGATGACTAGATAAGTAATAGAACATAAAACTGAAACTACAAACTTGCTATCATGGACTTTATAATACTAGAATGATTCTAACAATTTTATTTTTAAAAATGGTTTAAAAGCTTTCAACTAAAACACATTTCAAGTTCCTGTTTAGTGAAAAATATAAATATCATTGCTGTAAACAGAAGTTCAACATTTTATCAGGTTTTCTGCCCTCCCAAGAGTTAAGGCCCTTAACAATACAATCCTAAACACATCTGTTCTCTGGTAAGAAAAACTCACAGTGAGGATTTTCATTAAGGCAAAATGTAGCTTGCTTGTTTGTGGCTTATCATTTTATGTAACTCCAGTTAGTGTGGTATATAAACCATTTGATGGTTTACTAGATGTGTGATGACACTTCATCCACCTTGGCTGATCTCCCAAAAGCAAAGCACAACAGGATTGGTTTATATATGGGAGACTACATATAAAAGGGAGCCTGAGATTTGGAAAACATTCTGGAAGACAACAGCAAACCACTTTCACATGATTGCAAAGACAAAACAAAGCACCCTACATGGACCTCATCCCCACTCAGGGAAGTCTCTCCTTTACTAACGGACCCAGACAATTGTGACTGGCTTATCTAGACCAGAGTTTCTTAAACTTTTTGCTCTCAGGACTCCTTCCCACTTTGAAAAATTATGGAGGACCCGACCCCAAAACAGCTTTTGTTAATCGACGTTTATCGTGTTAACATTTTTAAATTAACACATTCACAGGATATTTATTTACTGAATCATGTAAAAATAACAATATTAGACGCATTAAATATTAACACCAATACAATATTTTTCATGGGAAAAAACCCTATACAATATTTTTTAAAAATAAAAAGAGTGAGAAGAGTGATTGTTTTAAATGTTTGCAAGTATCTTCAATATCTGGCGAGCAATTTCCACGTCGCGGACGGCTGAGAGGGCCTTGGGGGACCCCCGGGGGTGCTTTGAGCACACTTTCAAGTAACACGGATCGAGACTTAAGCAAGCCCAGGTTTAGTGTGTTGCACGAGCAGAGAAGCCATCGGGACGAAGTCAAATTAACTCGATGCGACCGCTTTTCAGTCGTGCCTTGCCTGCATTTCTCCCCCAGATTCTTTGGCAAAAGACGTCGCTTCCACCCGCGCCTTAACCCTACCGCCCCATCCCCTCTCAGCAGCTCACCTGGCAACGCCATCCGCCCAGCGCAGCCCGCCCAGCCTCTAAGCCTCAACTAACTCCGGTCGGACGAGCTCGCGCCGCAGCGTTTCTCGCCGGGAAACTTTGACCCCGCCGTGAAGGGCTGAACCATTAGGCAGCGAAGGGGGGGGTCTTAAGGAAACACCTAGAGGCGGGGGGCAGCAAATTCCCTCCTTCCTGACTCGCTGGGAGAAGGGAGCACATATATTCAGAGTCTCTTCGTTGATCCCAGGCTGAAGGTTGCTCAAGCCGCACGGAGGAAACCTTTCTCCTCTCCCCCCGGCAATATCAGAGCGCTCTTCCCCTAAGCCGCTCCCACTAACAGGAGGTGGGTTGTCTACTTGATTGACAGCGCCGTGGATCAATGGGAATAAGCTGAGGTTAGTTTTCTAAGAAGCGAGCCAGTTACTACGCCAGCGCGCAGCACTTACTGCATTTTCTATATGATTTTAGGTGGGAAGCCCGACCTTGAACCGCTTATTTTCTGCCTAGTTATTCAGAAGCTTGATAGTACACATCTGGGCGTCTGTCTTCACTTCAGTTGTTTGCAGGTTCATAAGTCCTATCAGCCTTAGTTCTTTCTAAAGCCCACTGACTGAGTGCCGAGGACTGAAAGGAACGAAACTGTAGCTGGCTGCTTTTGTCTTCCGGCTTATTCTGCTTTTGAGCCGCCGAAAAGCACCAGGTTCCAAAGGAGAGGTGGACTAAGTAGTAGATCCTTGGTCTGATCTAACAGAGCATCCTTCCTCTTGGGAGGCGGGAGAGAATACTGGAAGTTCGATGCTCCTAACGCGTCTGAGTGGCACCCAATAGTCTCCACCCGACTCTCAACGCCAGAACATGCGGCTGTCGGTATATCCTAGTATATTCTTCTTGCATTTGTCTTTTATGAGTGTCTGGTATTTCTTTTAATGTGCTGAGCAACTCTGAACACGTAATGCGGGAAAACTCGGATATAAATGATTTAAAATGATCTAGAATAGGGCACACTGAACGTAGCAGGACAAGCCTGGCTGTTGCAGGACTTTCCAAGCCCGTATCGGGTAGCCCTAAGCTGACCCAGAAACTGCATCCAGCGGCCCTTGAAGGTTTCCTGCGTATCCCTCCTTCGTAGGCCCTGCTCCTTTCCCTCTTGTGCACTAGAAGCTCTCAGGAGGACCAAAACAGTTCCAGCCGCGTTTCTGGTCGGAAGTTTATGGGCCCGCACAGCGGGCCATACTACTCGCTAAGATCTGAGGGGGGAGGCCCTCCTATACGGCGAGAAGATTGGTCGTCGTAGGCCGCGCTCAGCGGCAGTTAGCTCGCTAGTGTCGCTCCAAATGCCGGGGAAATTTCTCTTCCTGTTCTTGAACATGGGATCAGAAGCCTGACTTCTCTTGATTGCTCTGCCCTTTCTCTCCCCCCCCCCTCCGGCTTGAAGTGAGGTCTTCCAGGGTCCCACATGGCGGGGGATGGTCGTTATTGACGAGGTTTCTTGTCCACCGGGTGGTTGTTAAGGGTGGGACGCTCGCGCAGGGCAGGGCTGTGTGGCAGCGTTCAGCATGAGCAACATTTACATCCAGGAACCGCCAACCAACGGCAAGGTGAGAGTTCCCAGCGTTTAATAAGTGTTTCAGGCCGAGTGGGAGGCTCTGAGGTGCTTCATTTGTAGCGAATATAGGAACTTCATCTGCGACTTACTTTGAAATAAATTGCCTTGAATGCCTGCTGATGTGCCCGAGTATGCCTCGGTTGGGACGGTGTGGCTTCAGTCCAATATTGGGACATAAGACAGGTTGAACTCAGTGGGGTTCACTCCAGAATAAGAATGTAAGTCTCCAGAATATAGACTGAAACATCCCCAAGTGGTCAGTGTTAGGGTGATAGGTGTAACAGGACTTAATGCATATTAAAATGAGAGCCAAGGGAACTCTGTTCACTCCAGTGGCAGAAACCCAAAATATTTCCGACAAAAGCCTGCAAAGCATTTAATTAAGGTTATGTGTGTAAATAAAATCCCCAAAGCATTTTTAAGAAATGGATGCTTGCAAAAGTCATACACACCCATCATACTATTCCGTTTTTAGGTAAACAACTTTATGAAAACAGTGGAAAAGGAGTGAGAAATAGTAAGCATCAGATGGGCCTGTAAGTAATTGACCTCTGTTACCCATCATGGGTTTGATCAATTGAGGTTTTCACGTAATGCTTTTTACTAGGATAGAGATGAATTTAAACTACCAGCTTTAGTGTTACCTGTGGCATATGCAGCATTTCCTGCTAATAATAATAACAGTACCAATCACTTTGGGCACATTTTGGCCAATATACCAGAAGTGCTACCAAAGTCCCGTTGTACCTCAGGTTGTATGTAGAATGTTAGGATTTATTACCAACATCTAAATAAAAGTGATACTAGCATTTTAGCATGTCCTTTATGCCTCCGTTTGAAATTTAGGAAACCATGTTTTCCCTTTGAGCCAAAGCCATTTCCTTTGGTGTGCAAAAACTAGCCTTTTCAAGGACAATTATGAGAGCAATCAAACAATAGGACTGTATTCTGAAGTCTTTGTTAAGTGTTAAGAAACAAACAACCTTTCTGGGTGGGAAAGGAGGAGGTTCAGCATATTTTATATAGCAGAAATTTCATGTCTAACAAAAACAAAGCCTTTATTACATATCAATGACTTTTATTATTTGATTTGTTGCTTTCTGATATACCTATCATATATCGAATGTATGTACTATACCCTATATAAAGATTGTCCCCCCTTAATTAACACTTTTTTGCTTTGCCTGAAGAACTTGTGTTTCATATTGTCAGGGAGCAAAAAAGCCACTTTGCAAAGGTATTGGGTGTTTCTCTCTCAAATTCAAGGACTAGGTTCTCTCCAACTCCACGCCAACTTGGGTGCCCAGGTTTTATGGCAACAATTTGAGGGCTCATTCGGGATAGCAGTGTGGCATTCCTCTGGGCTAAGATTGGCCCGCCTCAGTCACAAAACATGCAACAGCCAGTACAGGGTGAGTTCACCCCCACATCTTTGGAGGAGGTGGACAACTGAGGAGCCAGGAGAGGGTAAGCGGTAGCTGGTAGTCCCTTGGGAAAAAACACAAAGGTAAGAAAATGGGACAGGGGAGGTGTGCATTCCTGGGGAGCCTGTTGGGGTTCATGGTCCAGTTGTGGGACCAGGGAAACCTGCCAGTCTGTTTAGGGGGAAATGGACTAGGTACATTGAACACCTTTCACAGGAGGAGAGGTGGCCAAAGTGGGGCTCCTTTGAGTCGCAACTATTGGGGCAGTCCAAGCACAAATTGAACAGAACCATCCCTGCCAAATGGACTTTTGGGTCCTGTGAGCTGATGTGGCTGAGCAACCAGTCCATTGTGGGGCAAGGTGTCCCCAGCTCTTCTATGTAGCTGCGAGAAGGAAATCAAACTCTTCCACCATGTGGGCAGGAAATCAAACCTTCCCGCTTCTCCCACCCTGCCATTCAATCTTCCCACAGCAATCAAGGTAAAAAGTTAACATTTACAATTAGAATGGGTTCACCCAAAAGATTAAAATGTGGCAGGAAGAGTTAAGATTCCTTGAAACTAGCTGAAAGATCTCCTTAATCAAATAATAAAAGATCTGGCAGAAAGAGTGAAGAGATCTGCATTCCAGTCAAACAGTGCTAGACAGGCAAATACCTCAGCTGGATAGGATGGCTGATTGCAGGAAACCACGGCTCAGTGGGATGCCTGACTTCAGAGCACTCCCTTTTGGAAGTCTGGCTAAGTGCACTTTCTAAGAATTCCTAGAGGCCAGGTGTTCTTTTGTGCCTTTCCAGGAACATTAGCACAATCTTCTCTATATAGAGCGCTTAGGGGGAATTCCTGCTCAGGGCCATCTCTGAGACCGAATTCTGTGTGCTGTGCCCCTTTACCTTTGTTTCAAGCAATTGCGTATGCATTTTATCCCCAGCTTGGACATGAAGTTGGTAAGATTTCTTTCCAACATAGCCTATAATTTGTTGTTGTTGTTATTATTATTATTAATCAAACTTGTATGCTGCCTGACTGCCAACAGCTCTGGGCAGCTCACAACAATCAAAGAAATTACAATAAAATCAATAAAAGATGGCAAGCTTGACAGACCAGATGGAATCTAGTCTAATCTAATAGAATCTGATTGAGACACTGCCCTGCAAGTCATCTTGCTATTGCTCACATCCCATCAACGAGGGGAGCTACATGCTGAGGATGCCTTGAAAGTACAGTCTGAATAATACATGTGCATGCAAGTACTACTGTCCTACTGAAGTTCACATGAACAAGTGAAGTGTTTCTGTATGGCAATATTGAACATAATCAGCAACAATCACTGAGTTTCAGTGGCACCTTTTAATAATTTATATCAATAGGACATGCTGTTGGTTATTCTTTTGATTGCTTGTGTTTGTCCTGAATAAGCTGAACCTTTTTCATGCAACTCCTTGCCTGATAAATGTTTTATGTCTTTGCTAAAAATTCATTATGTGATCCAGTCTAGAGAGTTATATGGGCAAAGTTTATATGTAGCTTCTGAAATATTGCTCAGCTCCTAAATGGCTGCTGTGTTTTTAACAGAGGTGTGGCATGATTTCCTGTAACTTTGCAAATTACAAAAAGCTTTCCTTCCCAACTTTCTGGCTGTCAACAAACTGCTCAAATCAACAAAGCAAACAGTTTTTTTAAAGCTTGGAGCCATATTTTATGGGCCTTATTAGTTAACTTTTTATCCAGTATTTAGAATAGTAGTGTACTTAGTTGTCTGTCAATTTGGACATATAACTGTGCAATCGTAAACATTTCTATCTGCATTTTTATTAAAATGGTATTCAAAGCAGCTTACAGTAGACTTACAGAGATACAGTTCAAACATTAAAATATTAAAACTATAAATGGAATATTTACTCTCAACTAATTGTGTTTTGCAACATTATCTCTTGCAATTTTGGTATACACAAGGTATACCTACATTAGTAGCTTCTGCTTTATTGGAACTTCCATGTTATTTCTGTTAACTAGTTATTCTGCTGTTGCTTGTGTTATATCACCCTCTAAAAGACATTTAGCAAATGTATGCTTCAACAGAAGCTGTTATGCACTTAGACTGGTTGATAAAATATTGAGACCTGTAAGGGTCACATAATCATACATTAAATCTATTTTGTAGGTTTTATTGAAAACAACAGCTGGAGATATTGATATTGAATTATGGTCAAAAGAAGCTCCCAAAGCATGTCGGAATTTTCTTCAGCTTTGTATGGAAGGTAATGATCAAGAAAAATACAGTAGTTCCTAATTTTATACAATAAAAAGTACTCAATT